ACCCGCGCCCACCCCTAGTTGTAGTCCAAAATTTGTGGGCCGACTCGGAACCCGTAGCGGACGGGCTTTTTTTCACGCGGGCCGTTATCGAGCTCATATGGTGGTGGCGACCCGGCCCAGACCACCCGGATTGACACCTCTACTTCAAGATCAAGAGGTCCCTCCATGTGCACGACTTCCTCGGTCCAACATGGGGCCTTTGATAGTGGGTTAGTATCGATTGGGGGTTAGGGTTTGGAACAAGCTTGGGTCATGCGAGATTTGATAGCCCTTGTTTTCCATGAAAAATTGAAAGTTTTTCATGATTTATGGTTGTTTGATGGAAAAATTTGCCATGAAAAACAATTTCCACCCACCCCCACACGTGCACCAATTTCACCAAATTAAGGAAACCTTTTCCCAACATTTAGATGGGAAAATGGTAAATGTTGGGAAAATGGTTTCCAGGTCTGTTGAAATTTTTTTTTTGGACAATTGGAAAAAATTATAGACATAATGATAAAAAAAAATTATCACTTTTGTTGACAATTTTCATGCAAAACAAAGTCAAACGAATGATATTTGGTATGATAATTTTTTTAATTTTTATTTATTTTTGGCAATTGGAACAAATTTTAGACCAAATGGTAAAAAAATTATCACTTTAATGGATAATTTCCATGAAAAATAAAGCCAAACGAATACCAAACTTTTAACATTTTTTAGATGAAAAATTATACGAATCAAACAGAATTAATTATAATTTTCAGTAAAACAAATTTTAGGCAATTTAATTCCTTATAATTTATTTTTTTTCCACCTAAATTCAACCTTCCCAATGAAACAGACTAGATTTTGAGTTTCAATTTGTCTCTAAAGTGAAAGGCGTGTTTGGCTCGTGCCAACTTGGCATTGACGCGGCACATGACTTTATATTTAACGTGCCATGTCACATTTCCGTGATCATGTAGGCAAGTCTGCTAACGGATTCCATCCGATGCCAATGAAGTTGGACGGAGGAAAGTTGAATGGCCAATGGAACAATCAATGAAGTTCAGTGGTAAGCTTGCAAAGTTTTATTAAAACATTTAACTCTATTTTTCCACGTTCACTCTTCGACCTCCCTACCTAACAGCCTAACGTCATCGCAAAATCCTTCCAATTAGCTTGCCGACCAAGAATTTTTTTTTTATCAAATCCAGCAAATTCCTGTAAATTTTCCAAGATGGCGTCGGATATCGAGCAACATACCGTCTCCTCAGCCAACAAGGTAGATTCATTTTGATTTCACATTTACAGCTCCTGTATGTATTTAGCTGGATTAGAATTGCTGTCACAGTAGCAAAGTATGAACTGATTTTATGGTTGAATCAATTTAGGTCGGGCAATTTTCAGGTGAGACTGAGACCGGTGGCGTGAAGGAACCTCTTTTGGAAAATGGGAATCACGAATTTGAGGATTTTTCTGTGGTCTCGGCGATACTTCCGTGAGTATTATTAGTTCCAATGGAGCCTATTACCGTCTTCAGTGTCGAAACATGAGATCCTTGACTAGACTGCTTTATGATTTTTAGTCGCTTCAGCAAAATTTATTCGGAAAGTGATGACCTTAGTTTTAATTTGATGACGGAAATATTGTGATTTTAAGTATTAAAATTGTTATTTTTGGAGGCATAACTAGCCTTTTCTTTTTTATTTGCGAATTAACTGAGTTATTCCTCTCCAAATACGACCACTATGTGTTATAGCCGTTGCAGAAGAGAACGAGATAAGCTTTATTTGGTGATTTCAGGTTTCTGTTCCCTGCTTTTGGAGGACTGCTATATGGCTATGATATTGGAGCCACATCTTCAGCTACCATTTCTATTCAGGTATAGATTAAGACAAATATTATTTATCTTATGTTCGGTGAAGTGATCAATTGAAGAAGCAGACTATGTTCTATTTCTTCAGCAGCATCATGTTTTCATTTTCTATCACCATTAAGTGTCAGTTTGACACACATTAATTTGTTTTATAGTTTGCTATAACATCAATTTCAACCACACATTCACATTGTAGAATATACTACACGTATACCAAAAACTTTTCCTACTTTTTAACCAGACATTCTCAAAGTAATATTCAAAACTAATTTTTTTTCCAATTAATGAGAATCAAACAGGCTATAAATCTTCATCATTTCACACCTGCTCTTATTTATTTATTCATGTTTATGGTTGGGGTGGGGTAGGGGGATTTGGGAGCTTGGAAATAGAATTTAGCAAAATATAAATATCTTAGAATATAGAACAGACATTGATTTCGGGAAATCAATGCTGTTAATAAAGCCTGCAATAGAAAACAATAACTGATAAGATAATCTTGAAATATTAAGGAGTCACAAGTAGACGAGTTGGTTTTAGATTTGAAATTCACAGCCAGTGACTATGTGAAAAGAATTCTGTAGGGGACCTTTTTATTCATTTTGATATTTGTATCCTCTTTAATGTTGGATACCTCGATCCCTTTAATGTAATTACTATGGAAATGGAGGTTAGATTAAAAATTGTGACAGGGATTCACAAGTAGGTGATGCCTTAGTTAGAAAATGCCTCTTTATGAACTAAAATAGTTGGATCTGGTCAATTATTCTACTTAACGAATGTAAATCACTGCTGGTATGTTAGCCTTGTTTCATTGCAAGGTATAAAATTGCTTTCAGTACTAAGCGGATTTTAACTTCAGCTTTGTTAAAGATTAAAATGCTTCTTAAATTATGAAGGGCGAATTTGGATTTTATGTTAGAGTTATTTCCAGAGTCCGTAATTCTAATTAGTGAATGTTTTTTCTGGTACAGTCAGCCACACTCAGTGGGATTTCATGGTATAACTTGTCTTCGGTGGAAGTTGGCCTTGTTGTAAGCTACCTGTCATCTCTATTTTTTCTGGACTGCATCTTTTATTTTCTGCCTGAAAGATCACATACGTTTGCTTTGATTTTTTTTTACTTCTGTTTACTGCAGACTAGTGGCTCATTATATGGTGCATTAATAGGCTCAGTTTTGGCTTTTAATGTTGCTGACTTCCTCGGTTAGTTTTACTATGAATTTCAGGTGTGAAGATTGGATTAATAATATTATATTTCCCCCGCATAATATTTCGATTAATAATTGATGTATAGGAAGAAGAAGAGAGTTGATTCTTTCCTCTATACTTTACCTCATTGGAGCTCTTGTGATGTCCTTAGCACCTAATTTTGCTGTTTTGGTGATTGGGCGTTTTCTTTATGGTATCGGAATTGGATTGGTAAGAAATCCCAGGACATTTATTACAACTTCTGCAATTGCTTATGCTTAAACATAATTTATATAGTGTGCAATGTGGTTGCCCACATAACTAACATAACACCCCAACATGACTCAAGAGTAACTTTATCAGAAAATAATTGTCTAGTTTGAAGGGAACTCCTGCTGTCTAATGATTCAACGAGGCAAAATTTATGTAGACTGAATTAGGGCAGGTTTGAAATTGCTAGTTGGACGATGATGCCTGAATTCATTACAAATGAGTGAACTTGTTGCTATTGGAATTTCAGTTTATTCATCATTTGTTTTCTCCCAATTAATAGGCAATGCATGCTGCTCCCATGTATATAGCTGAGACAGCTCCAAGTCAGATACGAGGACAGCTAATTTCTCTCAAAGAAGTTTTCATAGTCCTTGGGATGCTAGTAAATGTTCCTACTCCCTCTTTGGGCTGCCTTCAGTTTTTGAATCATATCAACATATTTATCAGTAAGTCAATAATAAAGGGTTGTGAATTCTGATGGCTAAAATATCTTTATAGGTGAGTTATATCGTTGGCAGCCTTTTGGTTGAGACTGTTGCTGGTTGGCGTTACATGTATGGAGTTAGTATCCCTTTATCACTTATAATGGGGATTGGAATGTGGTGGCTACCTGAATCACCTAGATGGATTCTACTACGCGCCATACAGGGAAAAGGAAATGAACAAGGTTTAAGAGAAAATGCCATAACTTGCTTGTGCCGGTTAAGAGGTCAAAGTATCAGTGATTCAGCTCCTAAACAAGTAGATGAAATTCTGTCTGAGCTTTCTCATTTGCGTGAAGAACAAGAAGCAACTATAGCAGAAATGTTCCAGGGGAAATGCTTGAAAGCTCTTATAATAGGTGCGGGCATAGTCTTGTTTCAACAGGTACTCTTCATTTATAATGTGCCTTGCTTCATTTATATAAATCACATAGTTTCAAATTTTTACTCATATCTGTTGCTCTCTTCATTCATTGCAGATAACGGGGCAACCTAGTGTATTATATTATGCTGCAACAATTTTTCAGGTACATCTGCTGAATAGCTCGTGACTGCTGATGTAAATTTACCTTTAATATGACATGATTTGGATCTGACAGGGTGTTGATGTATTTTACCCTTCTAACCTAGTTCTGCATGATAGAGTGCAGGATTTTCTGCAGCATCTGATGCAACAAAAGTCTCAATACTTCTTGGGTTGTTTAAGGTAAGATGATGAAGAAAATTCATAAAGTCCTCTCTTTAATTTTGACAAAAAATTCAGGTGTTAATGTTACACTTGCATTCAAGAATTCGATTATGCCTTATTCAGTTATTTGTAATATTTAATCTTATGCTTTCATCCCCCATCAGTATTGTATTGTATTGTTCCATTTTTTTTTTAATTTTTTTTCGCTCAAAATTTTTATAATTGTGTTGCTGTAGCTGATTATGACTGGGGTAGCAGTCCTGGTTGTTGATAGATTAGGGAGAAGACCTCTGCTACTTGGAGGTGTTTCTGGTATGGTAAGTTATCATTCCTAATTATAGAGCTTGTTTGAGCCCCATTTTATTGTAATAATGCATTTTGGGATAGTAGATTAATGGAGAATGTGTGGTTAAAAAATAAGGAAAAATTTTGAGTTTGCGTGTAATATTATTTTGTTGAAGAATGTGTGGTTGAAAATAAGAGAGAGAAATGTATTTTGAAAATAATGGGAATCAAACAATGGCATAGTTGATTCTTTTTCATGTGCCCCAGCACATTTTCATAAACGAAATCCCTTTTTTATCGAATGCATTTCATCACCTTCTACTTGTTGAGGCTGCTTTAAACAACAATCAAAACCAATTTTTTTTAATATCATGCTTTATTTGGAATATTTGACAGGTAATATCTCTATTTCTTCTGGGGTCTTATTATACTTATCTAGATGATGTCCCAACTGTGGCAGTTGTTGCTTTGCTGTTATACGTTGGATGTTACCAGGTATTTGTAACATTTTATTTATTTATTTATTTTTTTGTGTCTTAAATCATTATCTTTAGTTTGCGTGGATGCATTCTTTGGTTTATTTGAACGCAATTAAAATGGCATAATTTTAGTTTGCCAAAGTAGGATAGCATTGTCACATATATTTGCTACAGAAAAAGTAACAGGTAAATTTCTACAAATCTTACAAGAAATTCATTTGGCAACATATACAGTCCGTTGTATTTACTTTCAATTGGATTGCATATGTCCTACCATTACTTATTATACATGGACCGTTTAGTGTTAATTTTTGTAAAGTATTGTCTTGCAGTTATCATTTGGTCCCATTGGTTGGTTATTGATTTCTGAGATTTTCCCCTTGCGCGTAAGAGGACGAGGATTAAGTATTGCAGTTCTTGTGAATTTTGGAGCAAATGCTCTGGTGACATTTGCCTTTTCACCTCTGAAGGTGAGAATTTATTCTAATGTTTTGATTCCCAGCCGTTTTTAACATGAGATATTACATTTTGTTCCTGAATACGACATGCTCTATTAGTGAGTTTAATAAGTCAGTTGCATTGTTTAGAAAATCTGTTGACCAAAAGACAGGCCACTGTCCCTCAAAGAAATATTTGAATCTATTCCTATCTTAAGATGTCATCGCGTCGACCGTTAATCTATCGAGTACTGTAAGGTTGGGGAGAGTAAATAAGGCATTAATCTAATTATAAAGTTAGATGTAAGATATGTCTGTTTAGTCAACTCTGACATTGGTGAGTGGATTGTATTGCGTTTTTGGAGTACTATAAAGCTAGAAAACTGTTTTCTTTTGGTAGATGATTATCACACATTAAAATTTGAATATTTTCTTCCATTCTTCTATAACCTTGTTATTTTATTTGAGTTTAGGTTTAAGTCTCACGAGAATAATATTGTACGATTAGTAATTCATTTATTTTCAAACCGACCCTTACATAATTTTTATGGGTAACATAATGTTTCCACAAAAAGTTTTATTTATTCCATATTTCCTTCTGATTACAGGATTTGTTGGGTGCTGGAATTTTGTTTTTCATTTTTGGGGGGATAGCCATCTTGTCTCTCGTCTTCATCTTTTTCATTATACCAGAGACGAAAGGGCTTACTTTGGAGGAGATCGAGGCCAAACTCCTTTAGGGCTCGTTTTATCCGTTTATGCAACTAAGACAATTATGGAATACTTCTCACGTCTCGATGGCAACATTATTCCATGTCTTCGTATCAGATTCTACACCACCTAACTCTATATATATATCCGCTTCATTTGTAATCTGTGTATGTGTATTAGTTATTAACCTCTGCTGATTTCGACGAAGTTTTTTTTTTCCTGTATATTTCATTATGAGATATCTAATGTTCTTATCATTAGAAGTTGGATGATGCCATTGAAGTTTTTCTGATTCTTCCAATTTTCCCCGTCTGAATTGGCTACTGCCTAGTGGTGCCGAAAGAGGAAGAGGAAGGGATTAGTAGTGCTGGGACCTCTCTGGGTTTAGAATTGATAAAAGAGTGGAGAACAATTCATCTTGCATTGAAAATATCCTTTGTGTGACTAATAATCAATAAAATTAAGATTTATTTTAATTTTATTTGATAATATCAGTATTGATTCCAAAGATTTGTAATTTTGATGTCTCAATTTGATTCTTAGGTACCTTGAGGATTTAGTAAATAGATTAGCATACGTTTATGTTTTGCAAAGCTAGATTCCTATTTTTTTAAGTTAGTTTAAAATATTTTTTATCTGCGCATTTTTTTATTCGATCGAGAAAATTCTGACTCAATCATATCTCATCACATTATGTCCATGTTTGTTTCCAATTATTTCAACAAGAAAAGGCTTTTTTAACCCTTTTTTTTCAAAATTGTGGGGCCCACCATGACACAAAATGTTCAAATATTGTGGCTCACCATTACAAACAATGATACAAATTTTGCTTTTCATTAGAAACAAACAGGGATGTGTTTATAATTCAGCCCATGTTTGAGATACATTAAAATTTTCATTTTCATTTTTTTACTCATTTTCAATCACATTTTTCAATAAAATAATATTTTCTATCACATCAATAATTTTTCTTTCTTTTTCAACTAAATATTTTTCATCAATATACTATTTCAAAATACATTCTTCCAAAATAATGTAATTCAAACACACTCTTATTATGTACATGTAGCACAACTGTTATATAATTTACAATTGTTGTTGATTGTACTAAGTCCAATTGAGTTTCAATTTGTTTCTATTTTATATATGTTTTATTGTTTATTAAAATTTTTAGTACAACAATTTGTTTCCATAAAAGTAGATCCCACTTTTTTTTTTTTTAATTTAGGGTGTGTTTGATAGGCTTCAAATTCCATTTTCCAACATTTGTCATGTTTGATACCGGTTTTTTTCCATGGAATTCCTTTTCCATTTTGAGCCTACACGTGCACCATTTCCTCATTTTCAAGGAATTGGATTTCCCACTTTTTTGGTGGGAAATCTGATTTCAGATTTTTTTTTTGGGCAATGTAAACAAATTTCATAACCAATTGTAAAAAAAAAAAATTTACTTTAATGGACAATTTACATGTAAAATAAAGTCAAACGAACACTAAATTTTGATTAAAAAAATATTTTTTTTTACTTTTTGGCAATGAAAACAAATTTTATAACCAATTGTGGAAAAAATTATCACTTTAATGGACATATTCCATGTAAAACAAAGCTAAACGAACACAATTTTAAAAAAATTTCGGGTGGAAAATTATACCAATCAAACACACCCAATTAACAATTTCTTGGAAAACAATTTCCAGACAATTAGGGGCCGTTCTCTTCGTGTTTCAGTTTTGTGTTTTGAGTTCTGAATTCATTTTGTGTTTTCTGTTTTAATTGTGTTTTGAAATTGCTGAAAACTTGTTCTCTTTGTTATTCTGAAAAACTATTTCTCAAAATAGAAAACTTGAAAACGCGTTTACTTTGAAATTTTGAGAATATTTTTTATAATATTTTATCCAATAAAACTAATTATTCAATAAATTTTAATAGTTTAATGTTAATCTATTGAAGAAAAAAATTAATGAGGTAACATTGCTAAAATTCTCTCGTCTAATTCAAATGCTTTGTTTTATTTCTGTGTCCAGAAGAACAAAAAAAATGCATATGTTATCTTCATCACATTTTTCATACAAAGATAAAATGGTAACATAACAAGCATAACATAAACTAAGAAAATGGTAACATAACAAGCATAACAGAGTATTTTACAAATAAGTAATGACCATTACAATTAATTCAACGATGTTGGGATTTTGGAGGCTATCTTTACCTTGGAATTAGTCTAGAATCTCAGCAATTCAAGATGCACCAGTAGAAGAAGAAGAAAAGGCAGAAGAACAGATAAAAATCAGCAGCAACAGGAATAAACCAGCAGTAAGAACACAATGAACGGATTTAACCAGGAAGAAAAACCTCTTCCTAACACTTTATTACCAAAGCAAAAACTTGATTTACAAACTTGAATTCTCCAGAAAGATTTTTTCCCAGATTTCTAAGAGTTTTACCACTATTAGACAATCTCACTTTCTCTTACTTTTTCACTCTCGAGAACCTCACCTCTCATCCTTCTAACCAGGCTATTTATAGACACAGACACAGAATCATTTCAGTTATCAACCTACTAACTAACTAAGGCTCTAGTTGGTTGAAGATTCCAACAAAAAAACAGAAAACAAGACACAAGAAATAGGCTCCTATTTCAACAGATTTCTGATTGGCTAAGGTTGTCTAATCTTCTTCAAGGATCACTTTTCCTAACAAACGAATTAACAAAATTTATCAAACATTTTTACATGAATAAACAAAAAAATTGCCAACTGTTCTAATTAAAAGAGGAATAAATATGCAGCATTTGATCATTTGTAATAAAACTGTTCATTTTCTCCTTCATCATGTCTATGCAGCAGCAACAGCCCATATTTACTGCAATCGCCAATTGTAACCTCATTTCTTTAACCAATTTACCCAGTCAGCATATCTAAAGCTGTTGCCCAAATTCTGCCCAAACTCAGGAAATGCGAATTTCATTCAACTTTTGAAGTACTTCATGGACAACAAATTTCATTTTCAAGTGTTTCAGATGGACCAACACTCAGCTTTCTGTCAATCAATCTTTCAAAGGAATTTTCTTGTTTTTTCTCAAGAGAAAAGATAGAAAATCTGACTAATACGAAATCTATCAATGCCACCAAGTACATCGACTTCAAAGGGCATCCCAGGTTGCAACTCAGATTGGACGCCAGAACCATTGAAAAAATTGGGTGCCTGTCGCCACGACACAGGACCTGAGCCAGCTATCAAACTGGAGGACAATTTTTAATCCCCAACCCCCTCTTTCCTGAAAATCAAGGCCAACAAGCATTTGCAGATATTAAAAAACTAAAGCAAATGAAAAATCCCCTAATACAGGAGAATGATTGCTTAAACCAAGTGCTGACCCTCCAGGAATTTTCAAAAGAGAGTTTGGTATACTACAACCACATCACAAACACTGAAAGTTCTACATCCAACAGAAATCATTTTAATGTACAACATCCACAAACAAGCCATTGTCACCCATTTGCACAACCACGTCACAAACACTGAAAGGTTCTACAACTCGGCATACACTACCATCTAAATCAACAAACAAGCCTTCCCAACTAATGGTTGTCATTGTCAAATAAAGGAAGAAATAAAAGACGAAATTTGAATCATTGAAAAAAAAACTTCACCTACACGTACCAAAGCAGGATTGTACTAACCATCCAACATACATGCATGCAAACGACATTGGACATTGACTACACTTTTCAGACTTCTTGGAATTTCAAAACAGCAGAAATATACTCAAACTGAAATAATTTCCAATTCCATTAGTCTTCAAACATAGAGCAATTGATGCTTTACCATCAACAGGCAGTAACATCTGCGTCCACTTTTTGGTCTTTTAACTAGGATTTGCACTTTTAGAAGTGATGAGAGTTGGAAGGAGATGAAAGATATTTAGAATTATTAAAAGAGAGAGAGAGAGAGAGACAAGATCGCCCTTTTTTCGTTTACATCACTGTTTGTTAATGGCGGACTAAAGATATTTAGAAAATACAGCTTTTAATTATTGTCCAACCATCCAAACAAACCCGAAACATCCCATTCATAGTGTGACGATCGAGAGTAGTAGCCCCCAACCTACTCGACACAACCATATATCATAAATGTAAGATATATTTAGGGGCATAATAAGTTTTCCATAAGCCCAATTCTACTAAAGTCTAAACTCAAGTTCAATTTACAGCAGCCAAAGCCAGAACAAATCAAATATACTTTCTTTGCCGCTATAAGGAGCTTCTAGAATGTTTATCAATAAATTGCACAACCAGAAAGTGCTTAAGATCTACGAATGATAAATAAACCATTCCTTAACTAGAAACCCATTTAAGATCATAACCAGAAACCCATTTAATGTACAACAACCATTAGTTGGGAAGGCTTGTTTGTTGATTTAGATGGTAGTGAAAGGTACCACCAAATGCTCACCCATTTGCACCTTTTTACACAGCCACCAAAAACAACAGCCACAAACAATTCCTATACAAAAATCATCAAAATTCAAAACAAATCCCTCAAAACTACACACTAACCAATACCCATCACAAAGTTATAATCTATTGGCCAGTACATTAACTAAAACCACCTGAAGAAAAGAATCTTAAAGAGTAAAATCGAAAACCCAATTCATAAAGGAACAAATTCAAGATTTCCCATTTCAATTTGTGCAGGAACCAAAACATAATATTAGAAAATGAATATGATAAATTCACAGCAACACTTGCCTGATATAATTGGTTTTCTGACTGAAAAACCGATTTCACAAATCTTACGGACTGCTCCAACAAGTTCAGCCGATTCCGGACGAAATCAAGGCTGACCCATGGTAGAACTAGATGTGCCTGGTTGAGAGAAATGTTGTGGTGGTGCTCCACGACCGAGAGGGTGGCCGGATGTGGAAGTAACTGGGGAAAAATCGTGCCCGTGTTAGCGGTTTTGGATGGGAATTGGGGCTGTTTCCAGCAGTCTGGTGGGCAGGCGATGGTCGGAGGTTGGAGAGGGAGGTGTAGGGGTGCCAGTGGTGTGGGGTCCGACGGCTTAGGTGACGGGTTGTGTTATTGATGGAAGAAGGAGGGGGATCGGTAGCTCAAAGAAGAATTTTAGGGGAAATGGAGAAGGAGGCGTTTCCGTGTTTTCATATTTTAGCGTGTTTTGGGAAGAAAACGCTCAAAAGGTTGTTTCAGACGTTTTGAGTTTTAGTAGAATTTTTTTTTTTTGTTTTCCAAAATTCATTTTCGAAAACGGGAAATAGAACGCGTTTTCACTGTTTTGAAAAATCGAAAACAGAAAACGGTCCGAAAACAGCAAAGAGAACAAGACCTTACTTTTCCTGAAATTCATTTTCTTTCTATCTTTGCAATCAAACGGACTTTTAGACAAACTTCTCTTAAGTAGCTAAGTGCATGTTCGTTTATAATTATTTGATCAAATTTTATTTTTATCAACGCATTGGTAGAATTTACAACTCTAACCTACTTTTACTCGCATGTGTCTCGTGTAGATCCATTTGGTTAAAAAGACTACAATTATAATCTCTCTCGCCATAAGCCTTCTTTAAGAAAATAGGGGAGTTTATTGAAAAAGGACCGAGTTGGAGAGAGGTGGTGAAAAAAGGTCCTTTTCTCTGAGCTAGACGTTTTTGTCAAATATCTCTTCTGAATAAAAAGGATTTCTCGCTCTAGGGCTTGGACTGAGAACAATGGCGATGTTCGGGAGAAGACAGGGCATAGCAATGGCGACAAACTTCATGAAATCCATAGTAATCCAAAGATCGTCCACTCTTCCTTCCAACTCTCGATGCCTCAGCGACGCCGTTAGTAGCGAGGTTATCACCTCCCACACCGCCAAATGGATGCAGGTAATCTCTCTCCCTCTATATATATGTATGTAGGTACAAAATAAATTTTCAATTTTAGTATGTAAATTTCGGAACATTAAGGATCGGTTTTTGTTTTTTTAGCTTGACGTCGGTATCTGATCTTCTGCCGGATGTTGTTTATTGTAAAGTTAATTCAGGATTAGATGCAAAGATCTGTAATTGAGTCTTTTGCTCATTTTATTTATTCATTTGTTGTATTCAAGGGGGTAGTATGCCTCCCCTTCATCCCATCTCATTTTCTGAATTTTGAATGCTTTTCTAATAAAAGAAGTTAAATTTTGGATTTAAATCTGAGATCAAAGTATTATAAACGTCATCTTAATTGCTAAAAAGAAATTTCATCTTTATTTTTCTTATTTCAAATCCCCCTTTCACCATAGAGTACAATAGCCATAGAGGACATGTACGGGTGGGAATTATTTTTTAAAAAGAAGCTAGATAACAGCTTTTAAGGTTCTTTTGTTCAATCTGGACAAATTGTGACAGTATATTATTCACGAGAGTATCTTTGACAGATTGTGACAGTACATAGATCACATCACTTTAGCGAGCTTATCCTGTGGACCTTTACAATTGGCGTGGTATTGCTTATCATTTATTCCGTCCTTCCTCTTAGAATATCTGTAAACACAATGAAAGCTATATTTAGGGTTGAGAAAGGCAAATTGCAAGCATGTCCGGTCTACTATAGAGCTGTACACTAGCAAGCTAAATGACTTGTAATGCATTGACAAAAAGTGTTCTCTCATTCCAAGAATTGGAGAAACAAATGTAGATACCAACTTAGTTTATTCTCAGAGCAGTTAAGAATTATTATGTTAAAGAGAGCAGATGATTGTGAGAATGGGCTATGAAGATTTGTGGCTATTTTTGTGTGTGCTACTAGAAATATTCATCTATTTGGACCCTTTTAACTTCATATTTGAATTATAAGGCAATTGTGAGAGTGGCAACTTTTCATGACTGCTTACTCCATGGACGACAACTGCAGCATCTTAAACATTTAATTGGTGCAACATGTGAACCATTGAGCCATTATTTAGGCACATAAAGGACTACAACTTTCTGATTCATTTCGTCTAATCTATAATGATATGTTTGACCTGTATTTCATTCAGTAGAACTGGACCGGACCATCGCTTTTTCCCATAGAATCAATCGTTCCATTTTCATAATTCCCAATGGTAATCGATTTGGTCTGATTTTCAAGAAATCTGACCGAACCACCTTGTGATCACGCTTATGTGTTGCTTTATCACTTATTTTTTCCTTCCTCATAGAAGTTAAATGCTATCAAAGCTTCATTTGGGGTTCCTAAAGCCAATTTGAAAGCATCATCACCGTACTATAGAGCTGAAAACTTGCCGTACTATAGGATTTGTTATTCATCAAATACTATTGATTTCTCTTTCCAGTTATTGGAGGAAAAAATTGTAATTAACCAACTTAATTCTGATGTCAAGAATTTATTTGTTAAAAGAGATCAGACTCTTGTCAAAATGGGCTCTGAAGATCCGTGGTTATCCGTTTGGTTATTCTAATGCGAGCTACTGGAAATTTGCCTCAATTTGGACCCTTTTAACTCTGTATTTGAATCCTAAGCCAATATGTGAGTGCCAATCTACATCAGTGCTTGCTATGTTGTTGGCAACTTTAGCATCTAAAACACTTAGTTGGAGCAACAAACCTGAACCATGAAGCCATTATTTAGGCAATGAAGGAAGATAACTTTCTGACTCATCCCATCTAATCTATAATTATGTTTGGCCTGAATACCATTCAGTGAATAGGAATCAGAGCACTCCAGGTGTCTATATTACTCTTTTTTCGTGTGGATTTTGTGAGGATTTGGAAACAAGACACAATCCTAGCAATTATTTGGGACAGCTCAGTATTTTCTTTATCAGATTTAGGGAATGTCATTATGCACGTTTTCAAATTCACTCAGCTTGTGTGCTTGTGAGGCTTTCATGCATATAGTTTTCAGCAAATTTCATGATTCATTTTGGGCTATTACTCTTCCTGCTTTGCCATGTGGAAACCATTTACTCCTGTCGTAAGCTATAATTGTTTTCTTGTACCGCTCTGTTAGGATACAAGCAAAAAATCTCCAATGGAATTAATCAATGAAGTTCCACCCATCAAAGTTCAAGGTCGAATTGTTGCTTGTGAAGGAGGTTAGCTTGCTTAAAAAACATTCTTAAGTTGTGTCACAATGTGACGAGATTGCCATCCCCTTCGTTATATATACTACCTGTATTTTCTTATATTTCTTTTTCCTTCTATCGAGGGCAGACAATGATCCTGCACTAGGGCATCCAATCGAGTTCATATGTCTTGACCTGAATGAGCCGGCTATATGCAAGTATTGTGGTTTACGTTATGTGCAAGGTCATCACCATTAGGTAACGGGCGGTGCTGAAATAACTGTTGCCATGATTGTTGGAAGTGATTTAAGATTGTCTCTGTCACAATTGATTTTAAGATGTATATCGACGGTTTTGTGTATTTGTTGCTGCATCATGTTTTCAAGTCAGCGAAATAAGTGTTCTTGTATTGCCTTCTCCATCTGCCATGCTGTGAATTTGGCATCAAACGTTTTAAATAGAAGTTAATTCCCATGCGACTGGACGAAACACTAGGCATGGTTGCAGCTTCTTTTTTCTTTATTACTCAGTACTTACTGTCTACCTTAACAATAACCCATTGAAATTTGTGTTAATCTCACCATTCAAGTTATATTATAGTATTTTTTGACCTTGTCAAAGTTTATGACATTTACACCATTGGTCACTTGGTTAGAGAAAAATAACTTATAGTGTGACATAGCATCTTTTATGCGCATTCATGAACATTGTCAAATTGAAATTTGGTTAATGCCCTAACTGACTGGAAAAAAATGAGTTTGATAACATTTTTATCAATATTAGAAAGGGTGGAATGGTAATTTCACATAAAGTAATTAAAATAATAAAAATTAATTAAAAAAAAAAGAGAGAAAAGAATAATTATTTTATGTTCAATCATTTTTAACAATTAATTTTGAGGATCGCTATTTCAGTAGGAATTTGATTTCTGGAGGAGAGGAGGACGGAAGATGATTGTGCCATGGCTGATGAATGTAAACTTACTCGAAGCAATCTGACACCATTTAAAAAAAAAAAAAGAAGTTTTAATGTGTTGTATTTCTCATTAAAATGTTGCTGCCATTATAATAATGGAACCTTGATGGTTGTTTCAGAATAAGATGACATTAGACGGTAATAAATTCAATTACATTAATAGCACTAGACTAATTTCATCCTAAAATTATGAAAGAAATCGTATTATCAATAATCTATAATCTATTAAATATCACATGAAGTGAGAATCATTTTTGGACGATTATAGCATTACTACAATTCAATTATTTCAATAATATTTTATTCTTCATTTTTCAATATGTATTTAATTTACAAACTGTAATAAATACTATAATTAATTCTCGATCAATTAATATTCACATTCATTTAATTAATACTCCATCCGTTCCAATTATATAGGTTGGGTTTCCTTTTTTATTTGTCCCAAATATATAGGCCTATTTCCTAATATAGAATATTGTGTTATGTTTTTTTATCAATATACCATTATTAAATTTTTTTCCAATTAATATGTCAAATTCTTGAAATCATCCAAATACCCATTTCTCACTTTTTGGAAAAATGGAATGACTACTTCATGCTTATTGAAAAGCACAGAACAAATAACATCTCATTATCTTCAAAACGTGTCTACCATTTCATCTTCTTCTTCTGTCTTCTCACATAAATAAAAATCAATTCTGTGAAGTGGTGATGCCACAAATAAAAATCAATTCCGTGAGGTGAGGTCATGAGTATAAACTCTACAAATCATTCACATTCCAGTGAGGTGAGGCCATTGTTTGATTCTACAATTGTACGAAGTAATATGAACTCGAACAAAGCCGTGAGGCCTTTGCTTGGTTTGAATGCTCCGCCGACTGAAGACGGTTACGTTTCTGCTTCTCAGGAGTTTCAGCAAGTTGTTTCTCATATGATGAAAATCTATCTCCCAATTATATACGAGAACCACAATGATTCTCTTGCTGATAAAGACGCTGATGATATCAAGAAATAGCAAAACCAAATTCTGAAAGTCTGATGCGCAACAGATGTTTAGTAGGTGTATTTTTTTCTTTTTAACATTACATTTCCGTCTGGTGTATGTGGAGTAAGTTCAACTGAAGTTTGATCAATGGAAAAGCAATAACACCAAATGATATCGTTCAATCCTCAAAATACAAGCCTCGAAATGAGTCCTGAAAATGTCTCAATATGTTAAAAAAACTTCAGGATATGGGAAACAACACTAAAATTATGCAACTGATGTGAAAGAAAAAAATTGGCATAACGTAAAAGTGCTGTTTTCGAGTCCTTAACGATGTCTAACTGTGAGCGTATGTGAAAACTATTCAATTAGATAGCCATGAGGAAACAATTCAAATACCATTTGACTTAGTACATAAACACAATGAACAGAACAAAAGACATGGTACATAAACACAACGAACAGAACATAAAGGCAAAAGAACATATAAATTGCAAAAGAACAAGAGGTTATTCTGTTGAATTAAGTGCTGCTTCTGCCATTAGTAGAACTTCAGGCTCAAACTGAATGCAATTCGGTAATTGCCCATTTCTCATCAATTTTTGTTTGTTCATATGTGGAATCCTATAATTGTTACTCCCTGAATTTTTCATCACCTCAATCATGCATGATTACAATGTTAGGAACACATTGTTCAACTCTTCAGAAGGAAATGCCCAGAAAGCATTCTCCACTGCTAAAATGAAGTTGGAGCCTCTTGATGTTGAATTGAATCAATGGCTCTAAAAAAACCAAGGTCTAAGACATTCATATCAGGACTATTCGGAGGTTGACAACATAAACGAATATCGAATCCATCCTTTCTCGCTGCTTCTACGAAGTTGGTATCATTAACATCCAAATGTGGCTTTGCATTGTCTTGTTGAATGAAGATGGTCCTAGAACTTGAAGATGGCCATTTCTGTTTGATTGCAGGGAGTACATTTTCAATCACACATGAACGAATCACATCTTTAGTTACCGACACAATAGGCTCCGACTCCAAAGTCCCGGCTACACGATTCTTACTATTCCGCTTGGCAGTTTCCTTAGACACGAACGGCCATATTCCAATTTTTCCATCGAATTCTGCATTTGTAGTAGCATCAACTCGTGGACAAGCAACGGCAGCCAAAAACATTATCTTCGTAATAAACCTTTTACTTTTACATGTGCGAAATGGCTCCGTTTCATCCGGATGGAGATAATACTTTTGAGATGTCTTGGACATATAAAACCACTTTTCATCAATAT